CACAAACTACATGGGTAGCCCTGTGTAGCCTCGTTGTGCTTATATGATCCATGCTTTACTTCCATTTAGTTGAGGAAGTTATTTTTAAATCTTAACAAGACTGCTTGTATCAGGGCGAAGCCCTAAACGTTCCGACTGCCTTTTAGGGTCTATGGAGCAGTAAAAACATGAAAAATTCAAATGTAAAAACTTAATCCCCCCACACCAGTAAAAACATGAAAAATTCAAATGTAAAAATTAATCCCCCCCACAATTAATCCCCCTATTTTAATACTAAGCTATCTGCAAAAAAAATTTCACACTGTATTTCACATAGCGTGTAAGGAGATGATTCTTAAAAAATGCTCAGAACAATTGTTCAGTTTTTAAAAATTTTCATCAATTTACAATCAACACTACTACTCATACCTTAAAATCCAGTGTGAACATTCAGTGTTTTGCCCTGATAGAGCAGTCTTGTTATGTTGTGTTCAATATAAGCTGTGAAAACATCTGAACCCTTGGCCGTACAAAAAGAGTCTTGTAATCTAGCAGAAACTACGCCTGATCAATCTAATTATCTACACAAACCTCAGCACAAAAAATATCAAACACACACCAAAATCGAGACAAACATTCCTTGACTAATGAATTGCGACTGACAGCAAGACGGATAGCGAGACAGCACTGCTTCTCCACTGGTCAACACTCCGGACAGCAATGAATATGCATTTATTAAACATAGATCATGCTTAAAAATGCAGAAACAATTTGAACTGCACAGCTTTTAAACTTTGTCTCATTTTTTGAGCGCGAAAAAAAAAAACAAACCAAGCATGAAGATTTTTGTGTAACCAAACTTTAAGAATTGAGGTATCTAAAGACAACTTGCAATGCAAAGTTGGCGCCTCCAAGTTCTTGCCAGGCATATACCGGTGGTTAAAGTTACAAATTTTGAGCTATAAATTTTTTGATAAACTATTTTTTTGCATCATTTGCTAACTAAGCATACCAGGTTAATAACGACAAATTTCGAATAATGATCAGATTTGAACTGCCTTGGCGCTCGAATGCCGCGAAAAGGTAAATAATTTCCGAAGCATATAAGAAGCAGCAAAAAGGTCTGAGTTTTTACTGTCCGAAGTCGCCCTAGGCAATAAAATGTCTGAAATTACCCGTGGCAATGAAAAGCAGCAAAAAGGTCTAAGTTATTAAGAAAAAGCAAAATTTCTGAATATCTTGGACATTAATCAATACAAGGCTGACATTGCTTTGTATTGAATATAGTCAGTTCAAACTGTTTTAACAATAAATATTGGATTAAATTCCAGGAAGGTGCAAACAGTCAATCTAGTCTAGTAAGTAACATCTCGGGTTCAATTAGATGTTTTTAGTTATTTATTACACCCTACATTTTTATTGTTATTTTAGTGTTAGTGAGTCCGTTAGCAAACTGATCTACTTTCAATCCTAAAGAAGGTTCTTTTTTTTTGAAATTTGCAGACACCAAAGCTTCCATTCAAAACTTTTCAGACAGTATCAATTCTGAGACCTTTTAGAACTGTTCATCATAGGATCACTACCAGGGTTATAAAAATATCGATGACTACATCACCGAAATTTAAAAACATTATCTTATCTTCGCAATTAGATTGTCGCGATAATCTTAGACTTTATTGGTTTAAGAAAAAAAACTATCGCAGAAATGACGGTAAGCGAACAACCAAAAGTCTTCAATTCAGTGATCGAACAATTGTTCGTCTGGTTTCCGATAGTTGACTTCGTCAATCGGTGTCGTATCTTCTAAGATTATTGCTTACTACGAATTGTTGACTGCGAATAATTGTCGCTATACCATATCTGGCAAGTAAACTCTGCTGCTGAACCCACCCTTTACCATAAATATCCCCTTTTCTTGGAAAGCTAAAAGAAGGGCGTAACCTTATTCATGGAAACAACAAGAGTAGCCAGTTGCTACGCAAGTAAAACATAAAGTTCATACAAGAGTTATTTTTGCAGAGTTAGATAAGAAAAAAAAATCCGATATTTTTGACGGATTTTCTCTAATACGGAAATGGAGGCAGGCTCTAAAAAACTTTCGAAAAAATTCTTAAAAGTCTTCACAATGACTCACTACAGCAAAAAAAATCGACACGGTTTTTTTGACATTGATTAAACGTTCAAATTTTTATTAGAAAATCTATCCAGATAGTCGGTATATGAAAATCCACAAGTCTTAAACCAGATGAAGATAAATCAGTGATCGAAGAATTGTTCGAACAAGGTTCGTCTGGTTTCTGATAGTTGATAGACCTCCTTTTTATTAATTTTCCTTCCTCAGATTTAGCAATTTTCTTAAACCGTATTCAGCGTTTCAAATTATCTTAAAACTTGAAAATAGTTAATTCTTCGAAGAGTGTTTAAATATCAAAAAATATTTTTATAGTCTATCTTTTGAGGTGCGCTAACTTTAAGTAACTTCCGTGATCAGTAGAGCAAAACACGTTTTGATAGCTGCCGCTGAGTATTTACACAACGGCGGAAAGGATTAGTTTTATAAAATGATCTCCAGAAACACAATCGGCGGCGTAAAAATAATTTTCAAAAACATTTATCGAGCGGTAACTATGCCTACAAGAGTTGAGTCGCAGACAAAGTTGTCGCCAAGAAAAACTATTGAAAATTCTAAAACGCTCCTCTCTTTAAAAACGCGAAAATTAAAAATCTAATTTTTTCTCCAAATGACGCAAACTTTGGTCACTAAGCCATAAAACATGAACTTAAACAATCGAGGCTAAATAAAATTTACGTGAAAAAAAGAAAACTTAAGTCAGATTTTGTAAATTTACAATTTATAGGAACAAATTTTTCAATCAAAAAGAGAATAAGTCACAGCATAAGAAAAATCCGTGACGTGGCAACTAACGCGACAAAACAAAAGCAGACAAACATAGGCCTCAAATTTTCCTTGAAAAAAAAATGTCCTGGCCAGATTTGGAGTTGTTACCTCTAAACCAAGTGCGCCAGAAAATCTAAGAAATCTGTATTCTTTATAAACTAATCAATTAATAGATTAAAGTGATTTTGTTAAAGGAGTTGTTAACCCAAAAAACTTTTCAGGCCGATTAGACAACGCTTGCTAATCGGACGCGTAAAAACTTTATGGAATTGATCTCCCCTGTGTTTGTATAATACTTTTCAAAGTGGTAGTCTCATGACAAGAGTCAATTTATTCTTCCGATTTTTGAAAAAAAAAACTGAATATTTATGCTTGGTGTGGGTTTTTTTATTCAGTCAATTTTCGTCGATCGAAATAATCGTTTTCAACAAATATTTTTTATAACCCATTGAAGATATCGACTTCCTGAGTTCAATTTTAAAAAGTCATTTCAGCAAAAAAAATTTTGTTACTTTCTGGGGGTTTGAAAATAGCCAAATTGGCAATTTTCTGGACAAAAATATGCGCGCTTTGAAGAGTTTATTCATAATGCTGAGAGCGTAACGCGAATTATTTATGCGCGGCAAATTAACCTGCACAACAAAATCGGGCTTTTGTTCCTTACTCTCTCCCCCATCAGCTCACGTGAGCATCAATTTCATGGTGTAACGAGTGGTTTTACAATGTTGAATATGAAGACCAAATACGGTTGTCATGGCCTAATTAATCCGTATGCCAAATTTTATAACAATCCGACAATGTGAACAGAAAAATTACTCTAAAAAAATTGCCGGCGGGTGAAAGAGCCCAAAATTGTTCCAAATTGAATTGCGGCTAGTTAATCCGTCGCATTAATTTTGTACGACTCAAAATTTCACATTTTAATTTTTTTTTGTACAAAATTTACAGGTTTTCAATTTTTTCTGTTCTCAAAAACTATTCAATATGAACTGAGGGAAAGTCAGAACTTTTCCCTGATATACGAGCAGTATTATTTCAATGTATGCTCTTATTAGTTCGCGAAAAAAAGCGTAAGACTGTACAAATCATTCTTCAATAGATGTAGTTATGCATTTGGTTGATGCAAAATTTATGAATATTCAATTTTCAATCTCTCCAGCTTGTTTTTGGTTTACTTATTGCTTTACTGGCCTTTTAAAAGTATCTTTATCTCTGAATCTTTGTTTAAGCAAACAAGAATTTTACAATAATGCAAATTCAGGTCTAGTTTCGAGCTAGTATGAGCTCATATGACACTACCTTTTGCTTGTGCCAGTAACACTATGTAGATTACATTATAGATAAATTCGAAGATAGGGATCTACTTAACAATTGCCCTCCCTTCAATAAAGTGGGTCAATTGTTAATAGGTTAAGTGAGTCGAACTTTCGACCAATCAAAATTCGAATTTTACATAGAACGCTGTAGTGCTAATTTACTGCTTTTATTTGTAGGGGTGACAATTCTTTAAAGGAGGCACATAGCATAGTGGTAAGGCGTTCACTTAAAAAAAAATCGTCCGATCGTGTGTTCGATCCCATGCCATGGCAATGATAGTGTGCGAGGACGAGCGCAATTACGGCTGCAATAGTGGTACCAAGTTCTAGGCGCAAAAAAAAGAGCTTCGTTCATTAAAACAACTCAGTCGGGTATGTGGGGAGATAATACAAATGAACTATCCTCGACAGGACTGTTAAGGCCTACTGATAGCTCCTCTGCGATTCGCAGGAACCACATTATATTTAGTAGATACCAAAGGGAGGGCGATTGTTAAGTAGGGGGGTAGGCCAACAAGCTGAGAGGCCAACAAACCGAAAACAGGATTATCATTCCAAAAAGCCGAAAGTTAACATTGTTATGCAACACAACAGATTGTCATTGTTTTTATACAATTGTTATGTAATTCTGATGTAATTTACGTTATTCTGATGCAATTTTGGTTTCAAGATATGGCGGTTTGTAGACATGGCGATTTGTTTCTTATTCGCAGTTTACAGATCCGAATATAGTCCTGAAAATCTTAACTACAGAACAAAATCGCGGCAATAACTCAATTTAATTAATAATTGCAAACTTTCTAAATTTTAAAGCAGAATGACAACGAAAACATTGATCAACTAACTGACAACACCAATATTATAAAAAATAGATATGAAGAGAAGCTACAAAATTAAAGGTAGTATTTTACAAATATTATGACGGCAGCAAATTTTTTTTACTATTGATAGAACAAATTAATGCAAAGTCTGTCTAACCTCTTTCAAAAGACAATGAAATATCTACAAGTCAGTTCTAAATATCAACCAACATAAAATAAAAATTAGTTCCTGTGATCCAATTGCATTACACTTCTGGGATTTGGAACGCTAGGTGACCATCGCCTAGCCTTGAACTTGATTGGCCTTCAGCAATTGTTGGTGATTTAACCACCGGCGATGTGGGAGACCTCAGTTCAACTTCATCAGCCTGGAGATCTTCGAAGGTCTCGTACTCAACCGAGATTCCTCTCGATTCCATTTCCATCTCGTAGAAACGCACTTTTCGCTCCAGCCTTTCGTTTTTCTCGGTCAAACGAGTGTTTGTGCTCCGATATGACTCAATTTCTTTCTGCAGTGTTCTTATCTGTCTGCTCTTTTCATTCTGGACGTTTTTAATGAGCCCTGAAAAAAAAACATTGTAAGAGTTACAAAAAATGGATCCACTTAACAATAACCCCCCTTCAAGAAAGGGGTGCAATTGTTAAGTAGATTAAGTAAGTAGAATTTTCGACCATACAGAATGCAGCAAAATTCGTATTTTAAATACAACGCTCTAGTGTGAATTTACTGCATTTGTTATTTATAGGGGTGGCAATTCTTTCGTAGATACCAGATAGGGGGAGGGGGAGGGGTAATTGTCAAGTAGATCCACAGCTAGCAGGCATAAAAATTAAAATATTTAAAAACTGCAGCTTATTTTTTTATTTTAAAGAAAAAACATATCTTGAAGCTCTTTGAATCTTCTATGATTCATAATTATTATTGCTTAAAAATCGTCCCGACTTCGTAATAAATCAAGTTGTGAAATAATTCTGTTATACCTGATATCAGTTGTTAAGTTGTTTATACTTGCTAAAACATTTTGCACTGGAAAACTTCCATCAAAATAAAGCGTTTAAACTTTGATCTTTTCAAAAACACGCCACTGATACACAGGCAATGAACAATTTATTTTAAATATTTTCGATGGTAGCTTCGCAGTACAATTCACGTTGCCACAAGATCCAAGTAATCCGCGACACAAGAGCCAACTACATTGGTACAAGCTTAGCAGAAAATAATTTAAACCAACTAATCCAGTTAAGAAAATCAAAAACCCAGAAAACAATGAGACATTCAAAAACTAACCACGAGAGGCGTCGCATTTTTCGACTTAAAAAAATTTTTTTTTAATATTTCAATATGCCCATCCTCATATTATAGTCTTCATAGCTATAATATGAGCACTTAGAACAAAAAGCACTTGGAACAATAATATAAAGCACTAAGAACAATGAACATTATTTGCATGAACGAAAACTACTAGAAAACAAATATTCTTTCGCTGTCCTAAAATATACGATATCAAAATCCATGCAAAACGTCGATCAGTTAGATTATCTCAAGTACACCTGGTTCCAATAATGTCACTCAAAACCAGCCAAAAAGAGGTAATCAAGCTGATGAAGGCTTTGTAGAAAACTAGCAACCGAAAAAAATCAATACAATTGTTGAGCTGGTGAAAGAAACGTACAAAAAAGATTGCCAGCTGCATTCATCTTCGCACTCGCCTTAAAAGATAAAACGCAGATTTTTCAATATAACAGATATAAGTCATTAACGTATTAAAATTTACTATGATATATTTAGCATCTAAAGATGACTTTACTGACGGATCAAAGCGATAGGTACTCTGTCATTGTCTGGAAAACTCTATGTCCGAGATTTATGTTCCAGACAAAACTGACCAATTTTCAAAAACTGTCCCTGACAATTGGTTTCAGACAAAATTGTCCCAAACTTGTTACTAATTGTCTGAATAATCGCTATATAAAGATTGGATTAATTTGATAAAAATTTCAAGAATATGGATTATTTCGCTAAGGCCGTGCAACTGGGCAATTAGTCCAAAATTTTCTCTGAGTAGCACATAAGACAAAACTAAAAGCGCACTCAAATCCGCTACACATACCTTAACAATTTTTGCTTGATTAATGCTTATGCCAAACGTACAAAAAAGGCATGATGAGTGATAATATAGTCACTTTTATTGCTCTCGACATCGGGTTAACAATGGAAATCCTAAACAATGGACAATAGATAAAAGCGAAATGCTAGTTTATAATCCATAGATCTTTCAAAGAACAAATTTTGACAAATTTTTGTAGAGATGTGTCTAATCTTAATTTAAAAGCAGATAAATGTTATAAATGATCAGTCATTTTCACGCTCCAGTCGACAATGGGAAACGGAGATTCAGCACAGCGCTTATGAGCAGAGCAGTTGTTACTGATGAGCACTACGTAAAAACACTCTTCGCCCCTAAAAAGACAATGAAAACTGTAACAGTGATCTCTATTCAGCTAAATAGAGAACCATCAACAGAAATAAGTCATAGAGACGGCCCAGAATGCAAAAAGCTTAAATCATTAGCCGGTTTTGAAAACCCCGAGTTGTTGAAAATGACAAACGGTGGCGAATGTTTGATTCAATTTGACTCTGGACCTGATAATACCAACCGACTGCTGAACGAACTATGGATTTTGGCGTTTCCTATTGCAAAAAAAAATATTTTATGAGATCACCGGGAACTCTTTCTGATAGCTGAGACAACTTACTCTAAGGTTATTTAAAATACAAAAGCGGTATATCTTGTTTTAAAGAGCTGGTGAAAATTTTCCATGAGTATCAATAACCAATTACCTAAATTGGTTGATCTTACTTGTTTGGCCGTAGCCTCCCCAGTAGATCTTCAATCATTGAGCTTGAAGATTGCATGCAAAAGAAACAAACCGCATTTCATCGAAACCGCAACGCATCGGCGGAAAACAATTTTACGGTACAGACTTTTCTTGGTCACCCCACCCAATCGAGAAGAAATTAGCCATACCGTTACGCTTATCGCCTGGATGATAACATGTTCAACCCTAGCTTGATGTAGGGGACTGAAATTCTCATTGGCCATCTCGGACAGATAGTGAAAAAAAACAGCACTTCCTATTTGCGCCCAATTAACATCGACATGTTGTTCTATCAGAGTTTCCCTTCCTGAACGCCTCCACAGCGGATAAAGGAAAACCCATCAGGTCAATCGAGCCGCGTCTTTTTAATCAATTTGTTGTTTGAATTTGAACTTACCAATTTAGCTTCAAATTGACTTCTAAAATTAGACAAATTCATTTCCGGTCTACCTGGCGATAGCTGAAAAACGACTGCATGTAGCTGATGAAATTGGGAGATGGGTTCTGTTCGAACAGCACAGAATCTGTTGATCCTTCAAAAATGATCCCCAGCTGGCAAAAGATTATTCAATCATTTTAAAAACCTTTTTGCTCTAGAATCTCTAGTTTTGTACACTTCGTAGTTTCTTTTTCTTTTCTGTAGGTTCAAGACGATTTCAGAAGCAAGACTCGTCAAACAGCTCTTCAGGTAATTCAGCTTTTGAACTAGTGTCAGCTTCCCATTATTGTGAAAAATAAGTTTCAACTGATCCATGAAGCTTATGCAGTGGTTAAATCTACATTGAAAGTAGAAAAATCAATCTGCGGCAGACTTGCAGTGATCATTACAGTGTCATTTTGCCTAGCTGCAAAAACATTGTTCGATAGTCTACTCGCTGCTGCAATCAGCCTGTTTGCTGCCTGGATTGCCGTTTTTTATGCGCCCCAGCCCAGCTCCCACTATTCAACCTTATGTCTTTTTTCCATGACAGAGAGCGATGTCATCCATTTTGCCGCAGCCGGTCCCATCTTGAGAATCCGGATGACACTGAGACCCCTCCAACTGTAACCGAAGCGGGATTCCAACGCATGACCTTTGTGTTAAAGTCCGCGAGTCTTAGCCTCTCCGCCACGGCTGCTCCTGGATGTCTTGGTATCGATCAGCTCATGATCATTGTCAATAAATGATCGAATTAAGCAGTCTTCAAGTTCAGCCGTTTCATCAGTCAACTGGTCTTTGTTCCGATGAGGGTCAGATGAAAGAGCTTTGACTCTCTCAACTTTCATTAAGCTAGATGAAGCTTATTGATGAATCCCGAACTTGTTTCGTTGAATCAGTCAGTGCGCGGCAATATAAGCAGTTCATTAGCAATATGAGGCAAACCAAAATACATACTTTCGAAAACTTAACCAACTGATTCTAAGGTTATTCAAAATTAGAATGTGGTTTACCTTGGCTTTGACAGAACATACGAGAGCATGTTATTAAATCTCCGGAAAAACAGTGCATACCAGAAGCAACAACTGACCAAAAGCAACAAGAATTGAAAAGCTTCGCAGGGAGCCATTTCGTCAAACGGGATATTAAAAAATGCAAAGAAAAGTTAATAAAATCCTATTTCAAATACTTAACAAGAAAGAAAAAACGCGGCAAGCAGAGTTAAAAATTCATAAAATTTTGAATACTGAATTTCTGACTTTACTCTTTCTAAGAAAAATAATTGTAGACGTTAGGGTTTCTAGAAAATTGGGATTTTTTATTAATAGCAATTTCTAGGTGAAACTAACCCAATTTGAGAAAACTGGATCAATAGATCTTCCACCTGGAAATCTGAACATTAAAATTCACTTTAGAAACTAGAAGTCGATCAATTTTTTCGTGACCTTTACTCATTTGATGATCAATAGTGCAGATTGCTGTCCTAAACAGAAGAAATGAACTAACTTAAAAGAGATCTAAAGTCAAACCGCGAAAAATCAAAGTTGAGCGTGAGCAAATTGAAAGACTTTTTCCCGAAAAAAAAACATGAAAAAACTATCATAACCTATATAAAAGTCCTCACTACGCTCATTTATTCCTAATAAGACACTCTAATTCTAGTGAAACGTATTTGAAAAGATGGCAACTATTTTCAGATTCTGCACATTTTGTGTTCAAAATTGTCTCATTGAGGGTTTGAGAAGTGTATGTTTCTAGGATCGGCTTTTTGTGACTGAATGCTCTTGCCTTTCCTCTGTCCTTGAGTCAGAAAACAAGAAAAAGGTCGAAAAAATTCGATTCAGAATCAATTTGACCGTTTCATCAACTACCGAACATTAAAACTTAATAACATAGTGAATAAAACAAAACGCATACATTCAACATGAAACAGCGAAGTATTGATATTTGACGGCATTCATTTTTAACATATCCGTCGAGCCTTGTTTTTAACGAGCCATTCGAACTTCGCACCAATTTTTTTTTTTTTTTTGCACCATTGACTTGTTTTTGGAGAAGGTAATTTACCGTCAATTCTGTCAGGGGCGGATTTGATGGATTGGACGTCCGTCCGACCCCCCCCCCCTCCCCCTCAAGGATTCGATCCCATCATCAACCAAAGGGGGGACCCTTTCGTTGATGATGGGATCGAATCCTTTGCTATCATTTTATGAAATCCATTTTCGGCTAACCAGCCCTTAAAACTTTAGTCAAAATAGGGTTTTTAGCAGGGTTGGCAAAATGTAAGTTAAAAACAAAAATAACAAACTAACTGTTAATTATCGAAAAAAACATGTTATTTTTGTTAAATTGTTAGTTAAAGTAACATATCAACAAGAGTTGAGTTTCTTGAACAGAAACGCCAACTTTCCGGCTTTCTCAACGCCGAAATGAGCACGAAGCTTCCCATACGTCAGGTGAGATTTTTCGCTCTGTAGTTTGTCAAGTGAAACTGCAATTGGTTTGAAATTTTTTTTTCATCCGTTCGGGATTCGCTACAATCGTTTCCGAACAAGCATGCAGCATAGTTGCGTTGTGTTTTCTAAGAATTACTCTTATTTCTAAGAAATAGCTAACATCACTGGTAGAAAATATAAATAACACTGTAAGTTAAATTCAATGTTAAATAACAATGTTAAATAACATGCCAACCCTGGTTTTTAGTGTTCTGGGGGTTCTCGGAAAATCAATTTGGTGGACCTAGCACAAAGGTCGACAAAATTTTCCGAAAAATTTGAAAATCTGCCCCCCTTTCCTCGAGAAAACTTTAGATCCGTCCCTGCCTTCAATTAAACTCATTTGGCTGATTAACACTTGATAGCCTACCTACACTACTGTGACCTTGCAATGCTACTCATCTGACAAAAAGAAATGAAAGCCGCTTAGTCGACAGAAAATTCAGAAGAAACGTCAAAAAATTAGATGTTTATCTCGAATTTTCTTGAAAGTTCATTTTGAGACAAACATGCCAAGTACGACAATTCACTGAATGTTAATTTAGCATCGAAACCAAAAATTACGAACTAAGAAAGCCTGAAATACTTGCGCAGGTATACAATATTTCAAACGGTGTAAAAAACAATCGCTCGTAATAAGCTCTTCAATATCTATAAAAATTTAGCACTGGACTATGTGCATACACTTCTATGACAAAATTTTGAACATTTTAGGTTGGAAAAACGTGGACTCGTAATAGCACACAAGCTTTTGCATGTTTGAACAGTATAAATGTTACCATTGATAATATTTCCGAATCTCCACATGCGCATCAGAATAAGTAGCCCTGTGGTTGAAAACGCGTCCTCGTGTTGGATAAAAATCATCTCGAACACGAATGTCGTCAAAATCACCGTGATATCAAACAGCTAAAAACAACCAAAATAACAGATGAGCTGATGAATCCTTGCAAAAAATGAGAAGGATTGTAAGCAACCTAACAAAATTAGCAAAAAAAACAAATAATTACCTCAAACTTCTGATACAATATCTCATAACCGAAAGCGTAGATCCGGAGAATCACTTCGATTACGAAGTAAACCAAAATGGAGAGACTCATTAAATGTAGCCATCTTGGAACAGGGCTGGAATGATGAACTTTCAGCATCTAAAAAAACAATATCTACATACTTAGACACTTAAACAGGGGAGGACTTAGGGCTTTAATCACCTTTGGGTACAATTTTTATTCATCCATTTTTGCTCGACTAACCACAATTTTTTTAAGGCTTCAAGATTTTTTTAAGGTCCCCGCACACCCAAAAAATCCGATTATTTTGCCAAGTGCATAAAAAGTCATTTTGACCAGCGTTTGCAAATATTTTCCGGGTAGCGGATGATTAGGACATAATAGAGTCGTAATACCTTTATACAAGAGCTCGGAAAATCTATTAAACGTAAACAAAGAGGTCGACAATTTTTTTTTGAAAATCCTTCTGAAAACTCGTAGATCAGGCGCTGCTTTAAGATCCTCTGAAGTATTGAGAGCTATTTGACCCACTGCATGTAATCAAGAATGGTTTAATGTCCCATTTTCTTTAATTCTCCTCTCCGACCATTGAAAATGAGGACAAACTATATTCAGGTGTTTTAGTTTTTGTCTTTCTTTCTTTTCCACGCAAAATCAGTTACAAAAGAATCATCAGAATAGGTCAAGTGACGTAATATAAATAAAACCTTTCAGTCTTGATTCGAAAAACATTAAGAAAATTCTAAAAAATTGTTCCAGTGTCAAGAAAAAATGATTTTGAGATTTAGACTTATTTCGAGCGAGTAACGCGATCGAGTAATGTTCGTCATATAAAATTTGATGGAAATTGATCAATTAAGCTGAAATAAAAACTAGTTGTGGAAGCTTCATTTAGCCCTTCCTTGGTAATAAAAGTTTTCTCCAAAAATTTAAATCACTGCAAAAACAGAATAAATTAGAAATTTATTGAAATCTGGTTTTGTTTGTTTTTCATTTTTTGAAGACAACTGTTGTCAATTTTGCCTAATTCTTACTTTATAGTCTCGCTTTTAAATTTCTCTCATTACATCACCCACAAAAAAACGACACTAAATAAAGGAAAAAATTGAACAAAAAAATGTTTTTTGTATTTTTTATGAACGTGGTCGGAACATTCTGTACTACGTGCACAGCAACCGATTATCCTTGTTTTTAATTTATAATGTGCTTTTAATTTTCTCTTTTGTTGATTTTCAGTTTTATTGATGATGACTAGCTGTGGAATACGTTTTAATCATTAATGTTTTTCCCTGAAAACACCACTGCAGAGAGCTATTAATTTTTAAATACTAATGATGCCTAAAATAAACTGCAAATTAGTTAAAAGTAGAGGATAATTAGAAGTAGAGGATAAAAAACTTTCAAAGATCTGTTTCGTAGATATGACTCACATCTAAGTTGATGATCATCTCGAGCATGATGAGGCTCGTATACAACATGACAAACATGATAATTCCGATGTCAAAATGAAGATGACTGAAAAGGTTCCGTAACACTAGACGCCATCTGTCATGAAAGGTTGAGCCACTTTGGAGCCTCTGCGTTGGTGTCGAGCTAAAAATTAAAATATTACATGGTTGTAAACAATACTTAACCATTGAGAAGGAGTTGATAACATTAATAATCTTACCTTGGTTCTGAGAGAGGCACACCGGAATTTTCGTTCACCAAAATTTCATGGTCATCGTTAAGTCTTTGGAAACCTGCACTCATGTTTCCATATATTCTTTATTTTACAACGATCTAAAATTATAGTTTGAGTACATCAACGAATGGGGTTTAACCAACGGAATGATACAAAAGTGAACTGTGTTCACAATATCGATCTAAACAAAAAATTTACGCTCAAATTAGCAGACTAATTTCAAGTCATAGGCCTTAAGGTTTTCTTTCAATTGCTAAACAAACCGTCGCTTTGCCTGCTTTGCGAAAGCCTGGAAATTTTAAAGTCGCCCGCAACATTGCTCAAACTTCACGCGGAACAAATTATGGAGATTTGAATCACAAAAGAAAGAAATTCATCGCTTTTTTCGAATCATCACAGTGTTGTAATAAACTCCTAGAGTTGCGCAGACGGGTCTCGAAAGTCACATTAAAATATTGTATTCACCATTCTGGAAGTTTTCATGAGTCAGAAGAAAATCACATTCCATGTAGCCGAAATCCAATAAATAATGTGCCAGTTGGCCAGAATGAACAGAAGTTTTCGATTTGGGTTCATTTAACATCTGTGCTTGTAAGTATCAATTTGACACACCCTTCTCTTTTCAAATTACCTTCAAACTGCAATTAAATTGTTATTTTTTCACGTTGTCCGGCTCGTTTTTTTACAGGTACTACTACGATAGACTGGTGCCAAAAAAGCTACAGCTACTGTGATAGACTGGTCTCAAATGTATTTCGCGATTGTAAAAAATTGATAATGATTTTGTGTAAATTATTTATTTCAAAAACCTCTAGAAATATGAATTAGAAATTTTACGGAATAAAAAATATAAGTACTATGTTGTTTATATCAAAAAATATTGCTCCCTTTAACTTACTTTACGATTTAAAAACCATAATTGGGTTCACTTATTCGTAATCAAAACTCAATTTTGGCATTTTTCGAATTTTCCACCTTTGTTGAGAAAGAGGTTTTAGGAGTAAAAAAAAACATAAAGCTAGTTGGAATTGTAAACTTATGATTATTAAACGATGTGAGAACTCTAGGTATCTGAGAGCTCTATTTGATATGTCTAAATTTAAATTTATCTGACGAATAACGATATTGTTTTTTTTTTCATTCTTTTTTTATGTATGAATTTTACTGATAAGTCCTAGCAAAGGGGGCTTTAAACCCCTAAATGCGGCGCTGGCGCTTGTGGGGTCTGCCTACAATATTAAAAGCAAAACGAACCCTGAAAAACCCAAGCGCTATGACGGCTCAAAAGCCTGGCAGACACAGGTTTCAATCAGAAAAGTTGGTACACTAACTGGAAAAGTCGAGATGAAGCACGCAAAATGATGAACCGGAGAAGGAATATTGGACGTGGACAAGAAATGACCTGGCGTCGACAAGGAACTCGGAAGATAGTAGAAGGTTTCAAATTATTCTGGTCTGGAAACAAAGATGCAACACAGAGGCGAAGCTGAGCTTCGCATCACTTGCGATACAACACAATAAAATCACGAAGTAAAAAAAAAAATCGAAATTTCGAGAAAACTAGATCCATAAATAAGGCTAGTTTTAAAGAACAAAACGAGCCAAGATAATAGATTATAAAAATAGCATCGAAAGAAAAGTTATCAATCGGTAACAAAGCCGGAAATACTTTACGAGATACCTTTAGGCTGTAACATTCGCCCGGAAGTACATATCGACCGAAATTAAAGCTAAGCTATAAAACGACTGGCCAGCGTCTAAACAAAGCTCTACATGCTTTTCACCGTCTCTACCAAAGCCAGTTCTTTTGGTGGTCTTTTCAACATCGGGTCGACAAAAACGTTACTGTTCTCCGGCTTCGACCAGAACACTCAAATTAACTTACGTACATGCAAAATTAGTGAGCTCATGGCTGGGTCTCAGTATCCCCAGACCACGAGGTCACTCCTAAAAACAGGGCTACTACTATTTACTATTTTACTATTGTTTTTGTTCAGTAGATATGTGACATTCGACCAGAATGTGAAAAATGCAATCTCTGCAGAATTCGAGTTTTTAGCAGCGAGCCTTCCGGATTGATGATTATTAAGAATTAAGAACGTTATTGGAACGATTGGCCAAACGGTGAGGGCTAGAATATTCTGGTATTTTAAAATTTTAAAATTCGAAGTGATGACGTAACATTTCTGAGAAACGTCAGAAACGGCCATTTTGGCAAAGAAGTAAAAGAAAAACACAAGAACAACATTAGCTGCGCTAACAACAACTACGGAATTGAGATTGAAAAACGACAGCGAGTTACAGAGTAACAGAGAACACTCCGAGTTGCAACTATTGTACTGCTACAATAGTTGCAGGGCCGTTGCAGACAACGGTGAAGGGTGGAGGACAGCCTTCCGGATTAAGTGGAAATCAGGATCAACGAGCTTGATCCAGCGGATTCATCAATCCGGAAGGTTAAAGGAACTGAAACTTTTATCCTGTTACGTAGACTTTTAGCTTCCTGTCATGTCCTGACTTGAATTTAATTGATATCTAGATTCATTTTGATAAAGATGAGAAGCTAGGAGTTGGGGGAAAGGGTTGATCCATCTTCGATGGAGATGATGATTTTTATCTACTGAACAAAAACAATAGTAATATAATAAGTAGTAGCCCTGAGCCATGAGCTCACTATATCTGCATGTAATCTAGTTAATTTGGGTGTTTTGACCGAAGCCGAAAGCAGTAACGTTTTTGTCGACCCGATGTTAGAAAGACCACCGAAAAGTACTGGCTTGGTAGAGACGGTGAAAAGCATGCAAAGCTCTGTTTAGACGATAGCCAGTCGTCTTAAGACTTAGTTTTGTCTTCCGTCGATATGTATCTTCCGGGCGAATGTTACATAGATGTTTTTATGGCGCTCCTGGGTGTTATTTTTTTTAACAACATGACCGGCAGAACCGTTAACGAGCACTCCGCGCCGAGCGGATGCTCACATTAACGCCCTTAAAAGGCCTAAACCGCCGGGGCGGAAGGGTAGTTCGGAACGCGGAAGCCTTCCGGATTACCGTGAATAGCTTTTTAACTTAGTTAAGACCGAAAATTCACGAACCAGGAAGGGTGGGGGGATTCGCGGTCCCGTCATCTCCTGAATGGTTTGTGACCAAAAACACTTAAAGATTTATATAAAACCAAACAAAAAGTAGTATAGTACCCAAGAAAAACAAAAAACATAAAAAATAACCGAAAAAACCAAAAACAGTAAAAAAGTAAAAAATCAGTAGAAATCATCCCCCCAGACAAGATGTGATCCGACCCCCCCGTTTGTTGTTGATAGATATATTGTTGTTACAGGCATTTATATCAGTCAGGATCGTTACGATCAGTTTTGTAGCCCGTTTGTGAGGCTTGTACTGTAGGGTCATTTGAGCATTTAAGCACGTTAATGATAAATTGCGCTCAATCCGGAAGGGTCAGCTGATTTGCGCTCAATTCGGAAGGGTCTTGGGAGAAGGCTGATCCGGCAAGCAGTACAAGGAGCAACAAGAAGAGGCTCAACGACAACAACAATCGACTGTTGGGTATCGTTAACAAGTTTTGTATCCCTTTTGGTACAAAAGTTAAGATAGTAATCTGTGGGGGCTCGACAGTGCTGCACTGTAGTGACCCTTCACCGAACTGCGAATATCCGAGTTAAGCACCTTAATTCGGATATTAAACAAACCTGGAGGGGTATAGTATTACTATTATTATTACTTATAGAGCCTATATTAATAGTCTTATATCGTTTTTCAGTGAAAAACAACGAAAACAGACCGGTTTTTAGGGTCAAAATAGCGATATTTTGATCCCCCCACAAGTCGCGATTTTTGAGATATCGATAATTTTTGAAACGGAAAAAAGCGCTAAAGTAGTGTGTTACATCGTAATTGCACTACCATAATAGATAGATCCGGTTAAGTTTAGTTCGGAAGTGGTTGGAACTACTTTGGAACCAAAAAACCGAATTTTCGTGATTTTTGAGAAACCGAAACACTAAAAATTCGAAAAACTTTTGAAATTTTTGAGTTAGAACAGTAAAAATAGTTGTTCAGACAACTTCCACTAGTGAATCTACAAGTTTTAAAACCCGCCACCCGAAAGCTTTCCCGGTTGCAGAGAAATCGAACTTAACGTGTTTGATTTGGTGGATTCATCAATCCGGAGGGGTACAGGTAGCATAGCTTTTTGCAAATTTTTTCAACTAAAGCGTTTTAGATTGGGTCTTTTGCATTGAACTAGAAGAGTATAGGCCTTTTGAGCTCGGATCAATAATTTTTAGGTCAAAAGGACCTGATTTGCGGAAAAAGTTAGGCGGAACCTATAAGAGAGAAAAATTTTTGAGTTTAGGAAAAAAACGTTTTGGTTAATAACTTTGGAACTACTGGGCATATCGAGTTGATCTTGGTGCCAATAGATCAGAAATTAGCTGAGCTTACTGATAGGGACAAAAGTTTTTCGGAAAAGTAAGCGTGAAAATTTTTTGAGATTGTTTTTAGCAAATTCCTCAATTTGGAAGGGTATACCCTTCACGTTTTACAAAAATCTTTTAGAAAAGCCCCTATACCCCTAACAAAAAGTAATAGCGGTTGAATAAAGTAACTTTAGGCTGATTTAGACGAAAAGACAAGGCTAGAGGCACAGCAAAAGCTTAAGAGAGCCGAAGTTAGGCGAGCGATAAGACCCTTCACCGTTAGTGTGAATTGTCAAATAAGAGAATTAACTTCAATCCGGAAGGGTCTAGGAAAGTAGTGCATACCCTTCCTAGTTAATTGAAAGAGCAAAATTGCATCGGAGAACGTATCCGGAGGGGTATAGGTTGAAAGAAGGAAATCTCCGAAAAGCTACTTTACCCAATCCGGAAGGGTCAAAATTTTTTTTTCAAGTTAAGAGGGTTCCGAATCCGGAGGGGTCTTATAGTTGCTAATTCGGAGGGGTCCAAATCCGGAGGGGTCTTATATTAACTAACTCAGAGGGGTCCCAATCCGGAGGGGTCTAGATTCTGCCAGTCCGGAAGGGTCCTACTTGTGTCAATCCGGAGGGGTATTATTTTATTAAAGAACTTAGGTAGACGAAAGAT